GACAGCACTTTGAACTTTTATTAGAACAGCAGCAGTTAGTAGAGATATGGTTGAGTACCTGCCCCCAAGAACCTGCTCTGTGGGGATCTTGAGGCAGAAGGGATGCTTGCAAAAGGGAGTTGTCACTGAGAGATCAAAGGGAGGGAGGGAAGTAAGTGCAGCTTTGGAGAAGACCCACAGCAGCAGAGAGAAGGAAAGTGAGGTTCTGACTTTCCCTCTTGGCATCTCCCAGTTGGTTAGCTTATCTCCTGGGCAGCTCTTAGACGAATTCAGGCTGGATTTCACAGAGACAGGCCTCTCCTTGCTTCTGCCCACTGTCCTCAGTTCCAGCTGTTACTCTCGGCAGGTGTCCTCATCTGCCACTGGGGCACTAGAGGGAAGCCATTTCACAATCAACTCTTGTGACCAAGGGCAGATGTAACCAGCTGGTGATTCATCTCAGGGAACAGAGGTTTCCAATGCCCTCCTGGATCAGGACCCATAGCCTTAGGGGGCCGTTGCTAGTACTGCAAGGGCCCTTAAGGGCTGTACAAGTTCACAAGTTAGTCTCTTCTCCAATCACTTCTGTTCAAGCCCAAACATGTTTCTTTGTTTTCTTCGGTCAATAAAAATTCCAAAACGTGTTGCTCACCATTTAAAAAATACTAGCTTTGTTGAGCTATAATTCACATACTATATATTTGACCTATTTAAAGCATACAATTAAATGATTTTTTTTTAAATGGTTAGGGCTGTGCAACCTCCCCCCAATTGATTTTTAAAACATTTTCAGCGCCTTGGAAAGAAATCCCATACCTATTAAGAGTCACTTGTTTCCTCCAAAACCCCCATCCCTGGTCAATCACCAACTCACTTTTCTATCTATAGATTTACCCATTTGTGAACAACTTATAAGGTATAAGCATAATACATATAAACTGAATTTTCTGTAACTGAATTTTCATTTGGCATAATGTTTAAGTTTCATCAGTAGTATAGTATGTGTTATTACTTCACTTTTTGTATTGCCTGATAATATTTGCCCATCTATGATAAATATTTTGTTTCTACTTTTTGGCTATTTAAATAATGCTTCTATGTGAACATTCATGGACAAGTCTTTGTATGGACAGAAGTTTTCATTCCTCTTGGGTATAAACCTAGGAGTGCCACTGTGCATCATGGTAACTCTGTCTAATCATTATGAGTACCTGCTAGACTCAAAGCAGCTGCACCACTTTACATTCCCACCAGTAGTGTAGGAGGGTTTGAAATTCTCCATCTCTTCATCAACATTTTTTATTATAGCCATTTTAGTGGGTGTAAATTATGTGCTATCTCCTCTTGGCTTTGGATATGCATTTTTCTGATACCTGATGAGGCTGTTCATCTTTTCCTAGGTTTATTAGTAAGTTGCATATATTCTTTGGAGAAATGTTTATTAAGATCCTTTGCTCACGCTTTAATGGGGTTAACTTTTTCAATGAGTGGCAAGAGTTCTTGGAAAGTAAGAGTTCCTTATCAGGTAAACAATTTTCAAAAATGCTCTTTCATTCCATAAATTATCTTTTCACTTTCTTCATGGTGCCCTTTGAAGTACAAAATTTTCCAAGTTTGACAATGGTCCAGTATCTATTTTTTGTCATTGTAGCTTATGATTTGGGGATCATTTCTAAGAAACCATTTCCTAATCCAAAATCTTGAAGATTTGTACCTATGTTTTTTAAAAGCATTTTATACCTTAAGCACTTACATTTAGATATTTGATTCATTTTAATTTTTGTGTATGGTGTGAGGTAGGAGGGTCCATTCTTTGGCATGAAGATACCCAGTTATTCTAGCACATCTGTTGAAAAAGTTCCTTCCCCCTTATTTTGTCCAAATCCAAAGACAATTGACCATAAATGTAAAGATCACTTAATATTTTCTAAGAATATTTTCATAATAGCTATGCAAAAGTGTTCATATCATATTATAGTATGCTGCTGACGATTATTCAGATTGAAGACATGACAGACCTTTTTATTCTAGTTCATTTTGAAAGAGGAGACAAATTCTAAGTAGTTAACTAGTCTCAATTTATACATTAATTCAGACAAAATTATCATCAGCCATGTGTTTTGGACCTGAGCCCAAACAGTTTGATGAACCAGAATCTCATCTGATATGACTTTAGCAATCTAGTTGAGAAGAATCTCCTAATGTCTTATACTTTGGTTTTCTGTCATTGAATGGAATGCCTTGCAGGTAGTTTTTGACGATTCTGGACAGACTGTGATCATCTTCTCAAAGGACAGCCAGGTGGTAGGGTCAAGGAGAAAACCTGCTCCCCATGGGGCTCCCAACTATCATTTTTAATTTCTATACTCTGCCCTTCTGCCCAGTTCCACTTCAAAAATAGCAGGCAGCTTTGGCAAGAAGTCACTGGTTGCAATTTATCAGTAAGCTTTGGACACAGCTGTTTCCCATCTTTTGGCAAAGTCAGGGATTTGGCTTCTCTCCTAGATGGGATAAAAATTTTGTGGAGGGTGTCAAAAAAGACACATTCCAGGGGCACACAAATGTCTCTTAATTTACTGCTATAAGATTAACTGTGGAAAAAATATGGATGAGACTGTATATGCAATCCTCAAAATTAGCGTAAGTATCAACTGTCACACGTAGATATATACAGATCTATCTATATCCATAATGTAAACAAGACTTTGCAGTCTTTAGAATCTCCCGTATCAGAATCTCTGGATGGGCAGAGGACTTTTAAAAATTAATATTCCCGAGTCCCTTCTGAATCAGAAATTATGGGGGAACAGCTTTGCCTGTAAAATAAAGGTGATTCTCCCACTTCCCTGGCTTGAGAGAGGTAGTATTCGTAGGCTTGCAGATGGAGCCCAGAATGTGGGACAATGAAGAGATTGAATAATGATTCCCATTTCACGAAGCCCCTATAAAGATGAAACTACACAACATGCAGAAAGGTTCTAACAGTTATCTGGCACCATGCACAATGCACACCTATTTCTGGCACAGTACCATCTGCCTCATCTCCTCATGCCCCTCTCAATAGCCACATTAGTTACATTCTTGATTTAGGAATTAGCAATCAGCCAAGTGCTAAGCTGCTGGCATAGTGAGCCTAATAAATAAGCAGAAAACTCTGACAAATAGAAAAATAGGGCCCACTCAGGGACCAGCACTGCCATCCAATGAGCAGGGGTTACCTACTCGGTGTTGTAAGAGGTCACCCCATGGGGTCAGGAATATGGGGTCATTAACCATTACTTCTGCCTGCAACCAACCAGGTATTTGCTGCACACATTTAAATTGTATTTCCTAGGTTTTTGTTTTGTTTTAAGATTCAATCTTAAGAAAACTTGCAAAATACAGAATACAAGAGAAAAATAATTTTTCCCTCATCATCCAGAGATATGCTCTGTGTAGGAGCCCAGAATATACCATTCCAAAAATATGCTGCTTTGCCATAAAGACTATTTAGAGCTGAAGGAAATTAATTTTTTTTTAAATTTTTAAATATACTCCTTAAACTAAAAAAAACAAAACAAAAACAATAAAAAACTATGCCCTCTAAAAGTAGCACAGCCAGGGATTACAGATGGTGGCACACATCTGTAATCCCAGCAGTTCAGGAAGCTGAGGCTGGAGGATTACAATTTCAAAGCTAGCCTCAGCAATTTGGTGAGGCCCCGACTCAAAATAAAAAATAAGAAGGGCTGGAGATGTGGTTCAGAATAAAACACCCATTGGTTCAATCAAAAATAAATAAAAGTAGGATATAAATTCTTGGATTTGGAGGGTTAAAAAAATAAATTATAATTTTGGGTCAGCCATCAATGAGAAGTGAAAATGCCAGACCAAATGAGAAATGTTTAGTCTGTTTATAGAAGCCCCTAGGAATGGAGGGGCTGCTGACAGGGAAGTACTAGCCATTTGCTTCTGGCTGACTTCATGAATGCATAACGCAGCTGAACAAGGACACCGACCCCCACAGGGCTTAGCAGAGGCCCTTACTTAGATTTGATGTTCTGCAAGAGCATCTTAAAGTTCTTAGTAATTTTGTCTTTGAATTCAAGTTTTGTTAAGTGAAATTCAATGCCACTGAGTGCACAACCCTTCTAAATCAAGCACCTCACTGTCGTCTTGCTGGTGGAGTAGCCTGTGCTCCCCACCTGGCTGCTCCTACTTCCCAGTGGCTACTGCAGGACCTCTGTCCAATTATCGCCTCCCTCATGCTTTCTAGGCCCTTTTGTCTTCCCAATCAGATACTTTTCATCTTTCATGAATTCCTCAATGTCATCTTCTGCTTGCTTTTCAGTGAGGATATTTGTTTAAATTTCTTTAATTTCTTGTCATTTGTTATGAGAGGCACATGTTTGTAGTTCAACACTGAGATGGAATTATTGAAATAATCTCTATCACTTTCAAGTCAGTAATCTCTCTTCTAGCTAATTATACCAAGGAATTAAGAATAAAGCTTTAACCAGGTGTTGTGGCTCATGCCTGTAATCCCAGTGACTCAGCTCAGGACCAACCTCAGCAACTTGGTGAAGCCCTAAACAATTTAGCAAGAACTTGTCTCAAGAAATAAAAAATTTTTAAAAAGCAGAGAATCTTTAAAAATATTTTTTAAAATGACTTTAACCACAACGAGTTTCATCCCAGTAACATTTATTAAAAAGGGGGAAAATATTCAATCAGAAGAGACTAGTTAAAAAATGGTGATACATCCTTACAACATAAGTGTGAAAATAATATGGCTGAATAGTTCATGATATGGGAAATCAATGTCTCAAGTGAAAATTTCAGGTCACAAAATTATTTTTATTAAAAAAAGAACACATTATTATAGAAAAGGACAATTCTGCATGGTGGGATTTCTGGTGACTTTTTTCCCCTTTTTTTTTTTTTTTTTTTTTTTAAAAAAACCTCTTTCTCCTAAATTTGGAATTGTTTACAATAACTGCCATGTAAAAGCCTCTGGTGCCACCCTCTGCTTACCTCCTCAGGTGTGCTGGAAGATGGACTGTCCTCTAATGGTGTTCCCCGACCTACAGCCCCAGGTGGAATATCCAACCAAGAGAAGATGAACTGTGGGACCCAGTGCCAGAATTCCCAGAGCCTCAGCTCAGGCCCTTTGACCCAGAAACAGAATGGCCTTTGGACCACAGAGGTAGGGCTACAACCACAGAATCAGCTCGTGACTGGACCACCCAGACTGTCCAGGGAAAGAGCACCTCAGCAATAGATATTCTCCACCCTTTCCCTATAAAATTACTGTCTACCTCACTCCAACCTCTGCCTGGAGGGTTGCCATTTTTGTTGAAACAGAAGAAATGGGTCCTTGATATTTGTGCTCTAAAAGAAGTGTTGTGTTTAAGCACAGCTTTGTTCAAGTGACTTCTTCTCTAGGGTAGCCCGCGTCCAGGCAGCCCGTGTTCCTTATCCACATAGTCTAAATAAAATTACCAAAATGAGTCAAGAGATGGGCCTGCAGTTATCAACAAAGATGTACATAACAAGAGCAGTGCAGTTTAACAAAGGATAGTTCAATATGTGACACCACAACCCATTAAAGGGACACTGGAGCCCTTCAGACACTGTGAAGGCAATGGGAGTTAAATCTGAGCACAACAGTGGCTTCCTAAGGTCCTTTATTGTCCGCTTTGCCTCTGCAAAGCTGGCCTTCTGTAGGCCTGATCACTTTGCCATCTCTCAAGGCATTCTGGGTCTGAGAACCATGCTCAGAAATTTGGTGACAATTCTAAAGCAGGCCCAGACATTTGTCCCCTAGCCTCTTCCCCACACACATGACCCCATTCTTTAAGCCAGGATGGCCCTCAGCAGGGAGGAGGCAGAATCGCCTGGTGGATGTCATGATCCATGTATTATATTTCTTCACATTACTTTCTGCCCTCATCCATCATTTCAAAGTTGTATTTTGTATATTAGAAAGTACTTTTATGTTAACTGGCTCATTGAATCTTCCCAAGAGCATGGTGAAGCAAGCAGCATTCCCATTTTGTGGGCTAGGGATTCTGGGAGCCTGTGTGGCAGTTAAAGTAGGGTCAGGCAGAGCCAGCCCCTGCAGGGTTTCAGCCACAGGTTCATTTGAGTGTGTGATATGAATACAGGACCCGGACATAGCTGTAGAAGTGCTAGAGATGGGTGACATAACTACAGTGAGAAAGTTGACTATTAGTAAGGTAGAACATAAGATCTTAATTATTGTTCTTCTTAAAAAAAATACTTTAACAGTTAACTACTAACAGTATGTCATGCTGTGTAACAAAGCCTGTCAACATTCAGTGGCTTAAACAACCACCTTTCCTCCCTCCCTCATGGTCAGCTGCAACTTAAATGGACTAAGTCTGACTTTAGCTTCCAGGTCTGGCTCAGTCTGTTCCATGTGAATTATTCTGGAAATTATACCAAGGCACAATCTCTAAGGCATATTTTTCTCATAACTCTGATGAAAACTCAAGGGGGCAAAGCCAAAGACCTGAACCCATCTCATGTCTCTGTTCATATCATATCCACAAACAACACTAGTCAAAGCAAGTCAAATGGACCAGCCCAACATTAATGTAGCAGAGAGAGATGTGAGGAGAATGAAAGATTAGGAACAATAACGCAGTCTATCGTGTATACCACACACACAAAATGCACCAGTCATAAATTCAGTGAATTGTTGTAAGGTGACACATCCAGATGAAGACAGAACATTAATGCCCCAGAAGTCCTTCTTGTGCCCATTCTTAGTCACCATCTATCCCCCACAACATAACCACTCTTTTGACTTCCAGCATTATAGATCAGTTCATTTTTGAGATTTTCATAAATGGGATCATACTGTTTTACCCTTTGTGTCTGGCTTCTTTTGCTCAACATTATCCTTGTGAAAATTATCCACATCATTGTGAGGTTGCAGCAGTTTCTTCATTTTAATTTGTGTGTGTGTATGTGTGTGTGTGTGTGTGTGTGTGTGTGTGTGTGTATAATATATATTTTTTATGTGACTACATCACAGTTTAACTATTCTGCTTGATGTACATTTTAGTCATTTCCAGTTTGGGGATATTGTGAACATCACAGCTATTAATATTCTTGCACATGCTCTTTGGTGGACTTTCTTTTCTTTAGGTTATATACCTCGGAGTGCAATTGCTGCATTGTAGGATAGGTCTATATTTGACTTTAATAGATCTGGGCAAACAGTTTTCCAAAGTGATTGTACCATTTTATACTCTTGCCCTCCGTGGATGAGTTCCAGTGTCAGTGATTTATACTTAGTCTGACTTTCTTAAACCCATGACAGCATTTAATTGTGTGTTCTAGGTATAGCATAAGTGAGGTGATATATTGGTGCTTAGGCCCTTAATTCTCACGACATTTGGATCAGTATCTAAAATGCTGATAGTTTTCAGCTATAAACTGCAGATGACAATAACAAGAGATAGCTAAGGAAAGCTCTTCCCCACCAACATATCCCCATATTCTGGAGGCCTATGTAACAGTTAAAGTTGGGCCAGGCAGAACCAGCTGCAAGATTCTAGCAGCGGTGGACACAGTCACAGGAGAGCACTAGCTACACACCTGACCAGTGTGGCCCTGGGAAAATGCACACAGTGGCAAACTCTGTGTGCTCTTGTTTTCATGAATTAACTAAGGATGGCTATGTTGTAACTATTTCAAAATAAGATCAGGGAGCAGATAGCTTTGGTTTTAAGATTTCAGACAATTACTGAAGCTTATCAGTGGTCCTTGCATCTGAAGATAAATCAGACAACAGACATCTAGAGTCCCTCAAAGGACAAGGCAAAGGTTTTCTATCTAAGGTGTCAGTTTATAAGGTAAGTTTACCTCTAACTGAGGCTTCTGCTGTAGAGCTTTCTTACACCGACACTCTGGAAGGTTTTCAGGTTATCTAGAATCTGATTAAAGGAAAGAGCGTTCTTCCTACTTCTTCTAGGACTTGGATTTATGGTTTCTTTCTAATTTATCTTTTACCCTGGGCTGAAACTTCATGTATCTTCAGTATCTGCTGGTCTTCCTTTGCATTCCCTCCATGCCCCCAAGATGACCTACCCATGGTCCCTGGGTGACGACGGCTTGACTTAATGATTTTTTGACTTTATAATAGCACAATAACAATGGGCATTCTGTAGAAACCATATTTTGAATTTTACATTTGGATCTTTTCCTGAACTATCAATAGGAGATATAGTCCTCTTCCACACTGGGCAGCCAGGAGCCCCAGCTCCCACTCAGCCCAATAATCACAAGGGGACCGTGTTGCTAAGCTATGAAGTTCAGAAGATTATGTGTACTAAATACATTTTTGATTTATTATATTTTCAACTTGCAATGGGTCTCTTGAAATGTAATTCTATAGTAAGCAGAGGAGCAACTGTGCTAGCACTTGACAGTGTTCCCCTTGTGCCCCATCAGGCTGTCTGGCAGATGGTTCTTCGGCATTTTCTTTTTAAAGCTTTCCTTCTCTAGAAGACCTCTCTGGAGAAGCTTGCAGCCCTACCCACATGCTCAAGGTGGCCTAGTCATTCAGACAAGTGTGTGTGTTAAAGACAACCCAATTAGGTTTGGAAATTTTCCTCATCGGTTCCTATAGTGCTCTTGAGAGCCGTTCATCACATGTCCATTGAGCGCTGTTCTAGAACCAAGGATCCAGGAGGGGAGCAAAGCAGGTGTGGCATTTGTTCTGGAGAAGCTGCCAGTTTTAATTGGGCTAAGGATTGGAACAGATAACGTAAATAAAGCAGTTACAAACAGATTGATGCTCCGAAAGAACTGGAAGGTCACTAATAGCGGGTGGCAGCTCTGTATAGCACAGATGCATCCAACAGTTCAAATAGCTTTCTAAAAGGTGATGGGGCGCAGCTCACAACAGTGAACAAAAAGCACCTGCTGCTCCGAGTCCTCCTCCACTTTATGCGCCATCTAACAGACCACACCCTCCTTTCTCAACTCCCTCTGGGCCCTGCCTTCTGCCTGGTATTAATAGATGCTACCTGGCAAAACTGGCAAAAAGTGATCTTTCACAAATTGGACTCAACCATCTAGGTCAGGAGCTCTCTTGTTGCATCTTGATTACCTCAATCTTTTGGGACTTTATTGACTCTGTTGTGTCTGATGACTTATTAGCTCAGTCTCCTTCACCTAGTCCCCCAGCTGTGCTCAAACAGCAGGCAAGGAGGCTCTGTAGTATTGCTCATCTTCTGCTAATTAGTTGTTCAGGAACTCGGGGCTGCTTCTGCTTATTCTCTAGCCCTCATGTGCCATTTCCTTGGGCTTAGAACTCCCATCCCAAGCCCTGACACTCCATAAACACAAAATTCAGAGAAAGTAGAAATAGATATGTGGACGTAGCTCTAAGCAGACACAGCTCCAAGTATGTGGCCAGCATCCCAGTGAGCCTTCGTGTCTTCAAAGGCTGCATATTTTCCAGTTGTTTTATTATTTTTGGCAAAATGCCCAGACTATGCTAAAGGAATTAGCCCTTGTCTGGACAGAGCTCTTAGCTAAAGGGCTTCCTACTTCTGTCCCGCTCCCAGTGTCTGGCCAACAGTCAGAAGGATGGCTGAAGCCCCCACAGAGGTGAGAGAGGAGATCAAGAGAGGAGGAAGACTAGGATTAGCCTAGAATTTCTCCTGGACAACAGTCATCAGAGCCAAGGGAAGAGATTGGAAAGTCATGAGTCTCTCCTCATAACACAAGACATCAAAACAAACACTAGACATCAAAAGGAAGGAAAGAACAAAAGAACCCACAGGGGAAAAACCAAAGAGAGGAAGTGCCCTTCTAAGTGTGAACTGGGCAGGGGGCGGTGGTGAGCTCAGTATTCTTTCTCAAGCTTGGGGAATTCTTGAAAGTTTTGCCTTAAAGTCTGATCCCTGTCTTCCAAGATGAACAGCTGGCCCCTAGTAGAGTTGCTAAGATGGAATATTCCTGGATTGGCTTCACCTTAGTGCTATGAAAATCATGAAACAGCAAACCAATATATGGAATTTGGGAACAACTAGAGGTTTCTTATTGTCAGTATTGCTTTAATGGAGACCCGACTCAAAAGAAGTCAAACATCTTGAGTTGCCACTTGCAAGGCACTGGTCTTCAATATTCTGACGCAGAAGCAAAGAGGAAAAATGGAGTTCCTAC